CTCTCTCTCTCTCTAGGAAGAGGTCAGTGTATACATATTTGTTATCACAATTATATTCTTTACTTTTTTCTTCTTCTCAAACTTTTAAAACGAGGATCCCTCTGGCAAACAAACTTTTAAACCTTCACGTCGGTGATTCTCGAACTTTTAAATCACGAACCTATTCGAACCCTTCCCCTCTCTCTCCCCAAGTACTTACACATATGTACTTATGACATTTTATATTTAGAGTTCAGTGGAACCGAGGCTAGCGTTAACAAAAACGAAATAAACAGATATACGTAACGCGTGTTTAAAAACAAAAATATTGTGGTCGGATATGCTGGCTGTATTGTTTTCAGTATATTCGCGTTATTCGTTGCAGTAAATAGTTTTTGCGATAACATTCTTCCAGAATTTTCTCACGGAAACACGGGGGACGTTTTGCTCCTCCATGCTTGAGAGCCACTTCTTTATATAATAACGCGTGTAATTGGAGTGGTCGTCGTTGATATTTTTAACAAGCCTGATAAGGAAATTAAACGGGAGCCAGCGGTTGCAATGATTGTAAAGGAAGGTCACGAGGTCGTTTATTCGTATACAGCCGAGAGCAACTGACGCACGCTGTTGAAGGTGCATGTGATCCAAGTATTTCTTTAATGTGATTATCACGATAATTTTGATGATTTCATATCACCGGAATAATAATAATAAACAAGTAATTATTTCCGATAACGATTCGAAAAAAATTTATAATAATTTTATGACGTTTATTGAATACTTTTCTAGAATCACATACGATAGATGTCTCTTCGTTCTTCAATTTACGTAAGCCTAAATTATCTCGTTGCTGTACGAGAGCGTGAGTTAGGCCTAGCTCGTTCTGTGTGAAAGAACTCCAACTAGCGTACAAAAACTGAAGCTACCCGATTCCACGTTTTGAGTGTTTAACTGCTGGAGGAGAAAAAAATAAACCTGCATCCACGAAATATACGATTTGTTTGTTTGTAATTAAGCACAGAGCTACGCAATGGGCTATCTGTGCTCTGCCCACCACGGGTATCGAAACCCGGTTTCTAGCGTTGTAAGTCCGCAGACATACCGCTGTGCCACTAGGGGAGCTAAATATACAGTATTCAGAATTGAAGATAAAGTTGTTACATTTTCTTGTTCATACAACACTGTGGGAAATCCTACTACAACATGAATATTTAAATATAAACAAAAACAAAGTTCAACAGGAAAATAATTATTTCGATATAATGATATCCTCGACTTTCGTCGCGACGAGTGACTTTGATATTAATAATTAGAATATCCACGCGGCGTCTAATCTGGTATGTTGTCAACACGCTGGGGAATAGTATCTTTATTTAACCCATGTTGCCCCCTCCCCCCACAGACCCGGTGGTTCAGCGGCAAGTCTGAGGACTTATAACGCTTGAAATGTTTTACTACAGAGCACAGATAACCCGTTATGTAGTTTTGTGTTTAACAAGTCATATACATACAAATATCAGCTCATTTTCTCTTTAGTGAATAATCTTGCTAATAATAAATACACATTGTTTATTGGGGGGGGGG